ACACCTGTTACCCTCATCAATCTCAAAACATTTGCCCTCTACTTTAGCCCTCAATATCATTTGCTCATTTTCCCCTCCCTCCCCTCTCCCCCTCCCTCCTGAACCCTTCATAATTCATAAATTATTATAGTTTTGTCATAAGTTACACTGTCCGATGTCTCCCTCTGCCCTCTTCTCTGCTGTCCATCCCCCAGGGAGGAGGCAATACTTAGATTCTTGTAATTGGTTCCCCCTTTCTACCCCACATTCCCTTCACCCTCCAGGCCTCACCCCTCTCACCACTGGTCCTGAAGGAGTCATCTATCCTGGATTCCCTGTGTTTCCAGTTGCTATCTGTTCCAAGGTACCTCCTCTGGTCTAGCCAGATTTGCAAGGCAGAATTGGGATCATGATATTGGGGGGGAGGAAGCATTAAAGAACTAGAGGAAAGTTATATGTTTCATCGTTGCTACCCTGCCCCCTGATTAGCTCATTTTTAATTGAATGAAACTCATTTTCTTTACTCTTCCCGATCACAATTTGCTATCATGTTTAAGACCTCTTTGCCCATCTCTGGGTGACAAACACGTTCTGTTGTAGTTCTTTGGAAGTTCTATATTTGTGTCTAGAATTCTTCTTGACAGTGTTTTTTGTTTGTTCGTTTTTTTGCGGGGGGAATATAAAGTGCGAAGTCTTAGTTGAGGTTGCTTTCCATTGAATTATCCATTGAATTGCCTTTGCAACTTTATTAAAAATCAGTTGACCATATTCTATGGGCCTACTCCTGAGCAATCTTTACATGTTCCATTGATCTGTGTCTATTTCTTCTATACTTTTGATTCCTGTGGCTTTACAGGAAGGCTAAACATAGCTAGTGTGATTCCTCCAACTTTATTTTCTCTTTCAGATTCATTCTTACTATGACAGTTTCTTTGTGTAAATTTTAAAATAGTCTTGTCTGTATATACAAAAGCTTCTGCTGGTATTTTGTCACGTTGTAGATCACTTAATGAGCATTGCCATATTTATTATATTGAACTTTCTAATTCGAAAATACATTATATAACTTTAGTTAAATCTTTGGTATTTTTTATCTGCTCTTTGTAGTGTCCTGCATGCAGAACCTGCACTTTTATTTTTATTTGAATTTTGTAGATATATAGATAAATATTGATTTGTGGAAGGTCATATAACTTTTGAAATTTCAGTCTCCAATCATTTTGTGCTAAATTTCAGAGCTATGTTTCATTTAATAGTGTTGAACCTGGATGTATGAACAATATTATAAACACTATTCATTAGAGGAGATGTTTGTATTGCTTTTATTGTTTGCTTGTTTTAATTATTTGATTCTTTTCTGCATAAAATAATTATGTTATTTGTGAAGAGGGAGTTTTCTTCTTCTTTTTGTGCATTTCGTATGTCTCTCTTTTTTTTTAAATCTGCTGAACATAAGGTTTCTAGTTCAGTTGAATAGGAGTGGTGAGTGTGGAGAGCTTTCATCTCCCCCTGGACCATGATCTTAGAAGGAAAGCTTTGAAGATTACCATTAAGTAATATGTTGGCTGTACTTTTTTTTCCCATTAACACAGCCCTTATACAGTTGAAATAATTTCCTTACATTCCTAGTGTGCTGAGCATTTTTATCGTGTACAGATGTTGAATTCTGATAAGAATTTGATAAATTTCTATTTTTATGATTTAGTAGTAGAAAGTCTATTTTTATATTCAGTTTTATACAGTAATTGATAAATCACTTAATATATTTTTCAGAGTTTAGTAATATAAGAATATTGTAGGATTTCTTTTATTTTAGAAAAAGCTTATTTTTGCCTCCTGGTGATAAAACTTTTGAATTCAAATATTATATATTTACTACAATTTTTGTAAATACATAATGGTATAGAAATTCATAAAGGCACATCATCAAAGAGACCATTCATATCTTTCTGATTGAATCCACTTAAAAATAGTGTGCTTGCTTATTTATTGATAAGTGTGTGTTCAATGGACACAGGAAAGAAAGGTCAGGTTTTGATTAGCTTCAACATGTGAAGTCACAGCAAGAATAGGTGCTCTTCTATGGGCAAATGATCGCATTTATAAAAACCCAACACTTTCATTCCTTAGTTTATTCCTGATTGTAAGTAGATGAAAAAGGTCATCACATCCTAAGGTTTTTACCGTCTATTTTGAGAATTCTTATACAACAACTCACAGATTTGGAGTACAATTTTTATGACATAATTTTAAAGCTAACAGTTCGAAATTATTGTGTTTAACTGAATTTGAGGTGCAAATAGTCTAGCAATCAGTTTATATGGACATGAAATTTTCTAGATATAGAAATAGCATATTTAATTATTTTGTAGTTATCTAAAAGGTTATAATATCTGACCTCAATATTTGCTTTCTTCTAAGACCTAAAAGTTTATATTTACAAAAGTGCACATGAGGAATAAATATTTGGAACATAATGGTGGAAAATCTGCATGCCCTTCATCGACCATGAGCTGTATATTTCATATGCCCCGCCCCCCCTCATGGTCCATCTTTCTGTGCAAATGCTGGTATCTTATGTTCAGATTACTTTGAATGAGGTTTCAGGTAATCTTGGAGACTAGATAATGAAAATGTTACTTTCTACTTTAAAAGTAGTATACTTTTTAAATACTAAATTAGTTATCTGTTTGTTAAAGGCCATTTCATTAATATAATAAATATTACCACATATATGTCATACATATGTATATATAATCTCTTACATTACTGCCTACTTTAATGAATTAATGCAGGCATTATTAATTAATATCTGTTGTGCTACGTATTCCACATGCTTTCAAAATGGCCCTTTGCAGAAAATAGATAATAAACCCATTTCTTTTTTCTTCCTTTTTCATTTGCTCCTGTTGCACTTTCTTCTCCCCTACATTTTCGTCTCTCCCTTCTTTTCCCTTTACCATTTGCTTTTGCCCTCTTCCAGCATTCTTCTTTTTCTCCCTTCCTCTTGTTTTTCTATCTTCATCCCAACCACATTTAGTAGTAATGCTATTGCCTCATGTTCGCATTACACAAGCACAAATACAACTTAAAAATAGCCATTAATTCATCATGAAAGTGGAGTTTGTTTTCAGTTTAATTCTCATCTTATTAGAACTGCTTAGCAGTTTATGCAGTATGAAGCATTTTATTAACTGGCACTATGAGCACAAGAAAGGAGGGTTTTCATGTTCTACATTCTCATACATAACTGAAGAAGATTCTATATATGAAGCTGCACCTAATTAAATGAAAACCATTAAAATCCTAAGGCATTTTATAATGGATTTTATATTTTGAAATTCACTCTATTTTCCTTTTACGTTACATTATCTCTGCAACCTGTTTTTCTGGATTATTTCAAGACACTAATGCTTTCTTTTATTTAGCAGCAAGCTGCATGTTTTAGAACAAATTAAAGGGATACATTCGAGGTTGTCAAGATGCGTTGATGTTAAATTTCTACTTAATTTTGTTTTTTAAAACTCTGGCAAAATTATTTTGACAACATTTTTCCCCTGTTGTTGGTTCAAATCATTTTTGTTACTAGTTGATTAGTTTAATGTTAAACACTCATGATTTGTTATTATGGACACAAATATTGAGGTGCAACATTGAAAGTGACGATTAGGACAATGTGCTGGAAGAAAGCCCAGTGCCTTCCACCACCTTCTAGTGAACGAACTTCAGGCGTGTGCAGCGAAGCCGAAAGCCTTTTCTGTGCACCTTCATTTGTCATATCGAGTGAGAGGGAATTTGAACAATAAAAGGTGGCAGATTAAGACAGTTGTGAGTTCTGTTCTTTCTCAAAACTTCTAGCAGGCAGTGAAACGTATATAATACTAAAGGTATTCATCTTAACTTGCCCTTTTGAAATTCTAATAGACACAGTCAACGTGTTGTATAGAGAATCTTAGTTTTTGATTAGTCTGATTTACAAAAGAAGAGAAACATAAATTTCGCCACATGAAACCTTACCTTGGGCCCTCTGATTCAGGAATCCCCGCTCCTGTGTCAGTGACACTTGTATGCTGGGAGATCTGGGACAAACCCTCGCTGCTTCAGAGCATAATGGTGTGATATGCAGTGATGCGGAAAACAGGAGAAGCTTTGTCATTGAGTCAGCTGCACGAAGAAGTAGTGTGTCTGAATGTACAGTATAGGGAGATCTATGAAAGATCCAGTCTCTTTCTCCCAAAAGACTCTGTGCAGGATACAAGGAGAATTCAGTTCTTTTTGGCAGGCCTCCACATCAGTTTGGAAGCAGTGAAAGCCACCACAGGGGTGGGGGGTGGGGGGATGGGGGATGGAGCCTTCTTCTCAATATCTTCACTCTCAATGTCTTAAGTTACTAATTTTTGTTGTTGTTTGATTTTAATGACTGAAAATAAACACCTGTTTTCATTGTAGTATTTGAAGACAATGCCCTTAGTTGGAATGTGGATGATAATGACTAACACACATGAGATCAACCCCATGTGCCAGGCTGGTGTTTGCTACTGGCACCACATGGAGGAAAGGCCCTCTGCCTCTCCCCTGAGGAGTGTGACTTCATTTGACATCCAGAAGGACACTGAGTTCCAGCAGATGATGCAATTAAGTTTAAAATGAGAATTATTTAATAATTCACACTTTTAATATGGAGAAATTAGGCCATTTTCTTGCTTCTCCTACAAATATTCAATCTTAATATCTACATAATGAATATACACAGACAGCATTATCCATCCCGGTGCTAACAGAGAATGCCAGTCATGGCAGCTCATTGTTTACTTTAGCAGGTAATTTGTGGACCGGAATCATTTAATTGTTCTGAGTACATAATTGCATGTCAGCAATTTCCCATTTAATTAAAATGTACAAATCTGAAGATTAAGGGAATTTTTGAATTATTAATCATTTTTCCACTAGGAAATCTTGTTGCTCTGCAGGAGATTTGTCCAGTGTACAACTATACGTATTTTTTTCCTTCTCTTTCACAGACAGACAATTTTCCCGCAGAGCCCAATTACATGGGCAGCAGGCAGCAGTTTGTTCAAAGGTAAGGCCGATTAAATAACTTTCTCAGCTTCCCCATTTGCATTCCTGTCAAAATTGCTTTGCAAGAGACTACACTTCAGATTGAAACCCTTAGAGACAACACTTTCTCTTCTTTTTCTTTATATGTATTTCAGTAGCTCCACGTTTAAGGACCCAGAGAGAGCCAGCCTGAGAGACAGTGGGCACGGGGACAGTGATCAGGCTGACAGTGACCAAGACACTAACAAAGGCTCCTGCTGTGACATGTCTGTTAGGGAGGCACTCAAGATGAAAACGACTTCAACTAAAAGCCAACCACTTGAACAAGGTGAGTGAACCCTTCCAATGCTTACAATCAGTATATTAGAACTAGAGTTACCGTTTAGCACAGTGGAATGGGCCATTGATAATGTACCAAAAGAAACAGCAAATCCCGAGACGGTCCCAGAAGACAAGCAGCAATTCAGTTTCTCAGTAACAATAGATTAAAAAGAAGCCATTAGTCCTCAATTTTCTTGAAATGAGAATTGAACAAAAGTCACTTGATTATTCTTATCTTCATGGATGATGTTTCTTAACTTTCCCCAATTTTAGAGAATCAGTTTGCTTATTGCATGGTAAAATATCAATTTATGCTATTGAACTTGGTAAATTTCACATTTATGTGAAGTGATAACTTTATTGGAATTCTATAGCTTTCTTCAGTGCACTCCTATATTTAGTTTAGATTTTTTTCCCAAGAAATCCAAATAATAACCAAGCATAAGATTTGGCTGCTTCTTTTAATTGTCATCTCACTTTTCATTGATATCAAGTAAATGTAAACTTGTTTACTCAGTTCACTCCGTTTGCCATTTTACTGATTTTATTGTTTCTATGCTTAAAAAAAAGCAACTACGTGTTTATAATTCCCCAAAGAGAAACAGGTTATTATTATATGTAAGATTTAAGTATGAAGTTTTTTTATGTTCTGTTGTAAAAATTGAGAAAGCTCATGAAATAATTTCAGAATGATAAATGTTAATGTAATAATTGTCTCCTAAGACATTCATAGTATTGAATTTTTTCAATTTTTTCATTTTCTTTTGAATGAGAAATTAACATCTGAGTTATTTATTCTTTGGTAATTCATAGAAAGTAGATTTCTGCTTGTAATACAGTTCTCCTATTATACAAAAATCTGCAGAAATAATGCTCACAAAATTACAGAAAAGACAACAAAAGGGTAGTAATGGTCAGACCTTCAAATTCTGTTGAAATAACAACACATACACACATTCAGCATGCATCTATGTATCCTGACATAGCACACACAAACACACATCGCATGCATGCGAGCACACATGTAAAAAAGTATTGTTACTAGGGTTCCAGTTCCTACCTGGGCAGGTACGTTGTGAAAGCCAGCTCACAAGTTGAACCAGCTGGAGAGGAACAGGGTCGCAATTGAGAGAGAGTAGAGTTACAAGACAAAGTCGGGGCCTAGGGAGCTCCAGGAGGAGAGGCTCTAAGGCCCAGTTCCTTAGGAGAGGCAGGTTTCTAAGCAGCTCTCTCTCTTCACAAACCCTGCATTCTGTGACCAGTTCTCACAAAAAGGGTTTGTTGACAATTTCTCTCAAATAAAGAATGAAGACTATTTTAGCTGCTTTCTCTATGGTCTGGAGGGGAAGCTACTTGTAGAATGCTTGTTTCAGCAATTTCCCAGAGAACAGGAGAGAAACTGTTTATCTTTGTTGAAGATTAGACCACCGAGCGCCTCACCTCCCCAGACTGAACTGTCAGCTCCTTCCACAGCTTTGCCTAAACCATGGAATGTAGCTGTCCTGTACAACTTGAAGCAGGACACGAAGTTCAGACTCTCCAGTAAATGCACTCTGTTACTCAGCAGCCCAAGACAGCATTCTGCTCCAGGTTCTTGGCATTGGCACCAATATTACCAAGTTCAGAGACTTTGGCAGGTATTCCTTTCTCAGAGTTCATCTTAAGACAATCTGCTCCCACAGTATATTCCAATGAGATAAAATAAAAACACCAGATTTAAGCTATTTTTCTGTGATCCGTGAGTGCAGCAGACAAATTTTCAATAATACATTAGTCTTAGTCCCTTTAGGGCATCTTCAGAACGAAGGTACAATCAAAACAATGAACTTCCAAGGTGATCTGTTGGGTCAGTTTAATTCAAGGCGGAGAAGACATTGACCTCAGAAGGCCATGGGGCCTGCCTTTTGGGATCCCCAAGGGGTCATCTTCATAGATGTTCTTAAAGGACAGCCACAGTGAAGTTTTTTTTTTTTTTAATTATTTTACTGGGGGCTCGTACAGTTCTTATCCCAATCCATACATGCATCCATTGTGTCAAGCACATATGTACATATGTTGCCCTCATCATTCTCTCAAAACATTTGCCTTCTACTTTAACCCTTAATATCAGTTGCTCATTTCACCCCCTCCCTCCCCACTTCCCCCTCCCCGATGAACCCTTCATAATTCATAAATTATTATAGTTTTGTCATAAGTTACACTGTCCGACGTCTCCCTCCGCCCTCTTCTCTGCTGTCCATCCCCCAGGGAGGAGGCAATACTTAGATTCTTGTAATTGGTTCCCCCTATCTACCCCACATTCCCTTTACCCTCCAGGCCTCGCCCCTCTCACCAATGGTGCTGAAGGAGTCATCTCTACTGGATTCCCTGTGTTTCCATTTGCTATCTGTACCAATGTACCTCCTCTGGTCTAGCCAGATTTGTAAGGTAGAATTGGGATCATGATAGTGGGGGGGAGGAAGCGTTTAAGAACTAGAGGAAAGTTATATGTTTCATCGTTGCTACCTTGCACCCTGGTTGGCTCGTCTCCTCCCCACAACCCTTCAGTAAGGGAGTGTTTGAGTTTGGATAACAAACAAAAAACCTGATGGGACAAGATCAGGGTGGTAGCGTGCATGAAGTAAGGTTTCTTGATGAAAGCCCCATAGAACAACTTCACTGTGTAGGCAAAATGTAGCTTGTGATTTTCTGAAAACTTCACTGTGTAGGCAACTGAACACAGTGAAGTTTTAAGAAAACCACAACCTACATTGGTGAGAAAAGAAGCAGGAATGTTGCACCAATACATTTTCCCCATCCAGACTGTACCTGCTCTCCATGGTTAGCGAGGGTGTTCTAGGGGGCTTTCAGCAAGAACCCTTACTTCATGCACTCTACCACCCTGATTTTGTCCCCTCAGTTTTTGTTTGTTACCAAAACTCAAAAAATATTTCACAGGAACAAAATTTGCATCTCTCAAGGATGCCAAAACTGCTGGACATTTTGGTAGTTTTGTTTAATAAAGGATTTTTATGATATTTGCTGCAATATTTTTGACTTATTTTGTCAAATATATTATTTTCTACAGAAATAATATATGCATGCAGTATTATATTTCTGGGCTGAATATAGCTTATACTGAGTTTACCTGAAAGTTTACCTCACAAGAAGACTCATTTCCTTATTAATAAATGCCAGCAATATATTTTTTGACATTTTACCATACTTTCTTTGTAACAAGGAAGTTTAGAAATTATTTTCATTGGAAGCAATTTGAGTACTTATCTAGTATTCAGAACTACGATAGTCTGTAGGTTTTCTTGAAGCAACCTGAATGTTCTTGGTTGATTTTGATTATTTGATATGAGTATTTTACACACATTTTAAGTAATGAGTTGCTGGATCTCAGTATGGAATTTTACAAACTGCAGAAACTTGTAAATATTTGTGTATATGAGATGTACAAGGATTCATATATACTTTATTGGATTCTTTCATAAAGGTGCTTGAAGAGTTTGCATTTATGTTATTTTTAAGAGAAATTTTATTCATCAAAAGCAAACATAATTGTCCCCAAAACCATGCACCTACTATCACACTAACTTTTTAATTCATTTCTTTCCACCAACTTAGCATTGTATTTGATGATAATGAGCAATATTCACTAGATAAAAATAAATAATTTATTCATTTCTGAAAACATAATTTTTACTGAAATGCTATTTTTTTAAATTAGACCATGGCTTCAAAAGATAACTTTTCTTTAAAAAGAAGCCTAAAGTTGGTAATAATGCTAAAGATATTATGCATGAAATAATTCTTATCCAGTCAAGGGTGAGAACACCAATGGAAAAATGTCTTGTAAGACAAGTTATTTCCACATTCTCCACTAAGGAGTAAGGGAAGACTACTGTGAATTTGGAGGCCACACTGTAGGAAACGATGAGTTATGCCGGAGAGACACTGACTGATTTTTAAAGATAAACTAAAGTGGTATTTTATTAAACAAAAAAGGTTTTAAAAAGATTATCTGAAGCAGTATTTAATTCATTAATGGATTGCTGGATGAGTAATTCAGTTAATCACCAGATACTCATGTGCTGAGAAAATAATATCTATAGCAATGTAAAAAATTCATTTGACTTGGAGTTTGCCTTCCTGAAGGCAGGTGAGCTCTATCTTTGTATTTCTTTCTGTCTCTTCCCTCAGTCAGTCTAAAAGCTAGCCTATCAACCCACCTGTTCTCTCTGGTTGCCAAACACGTGTCTACCTATTGAGATTCAAAGGAAGGGAGCTAGAATGTATTGTGTTCTTTCTACTTACTATAGGTTGTGGTAGCTTTTTTTAGTGCTAGCTTATTTAAACTGTGAAACAACAGTTTTAAAAAACGTTATTGTATTAATATATAAAACATGAGCTTATGAGAATTTTATTAACCTGTGTAGTAGACAAGTTTAACGTAGGGTCTAATTATGACCCAAAACTGTGTCTTATCTATATGAATTTTTCTCCAAATGAAAAAAAAAAAGCTTAATTAACTAATTTGACCCAGTCGTATGCTCAAACATTTTAGCATAATTGAAAGTCATAGTTAATTTATGTGAACAAAAGGTGAAAATATTGAAATAGTTCATATGCATTATATGAACTTCTATTCATATTTTAGTACTTAAAATTCATTTTTCTATTTAGTTCTAACAGCTTTCAGGTTGGTAAGTATTGTTACCTTCACTTTTCTTAATTATACGCCAGTATTAAGATGAAAATGACATCACATACCCAATACTTTATGCTAGTTGGATAATGATCAACTTATTCAGATTCATTTTAAAATGTTGAAAAGACAATCAGTCATTGTTTGGACAAAATATTCTTTTAATCCTCTGAAAATACACTGAAAGACAAAGCTACAATCAAATCATTTTACACATATAGGAGTGTAAGTTTTAAAAAAGTATTGCTACAAAATCAAAGAAATTTTTATCAATCAAAAATATCAGACTGTGAAAGGATTCTTTCTCGACATTC